CTATCTATCTATCTATCTATCTATCTATCTATCTATCTATCTATCTAAGGTTGGCATGACTTTCATGAGAAATGTCATGTGGTTAGGTTTACTCTTGCTTTTTGGGCGTCATGTTTCTGTGCTCTCCTGAGTGTAAGGGGTGTACAGTAAATGCTGCATCATGAGGCGGCAAAGCTATTTATGACATGCACAGCCACCATGCTACACCACACGACGCTGAAAAAAAAAAAAGCATTGCCTTATGGGTTAGTGCCTCTACAGCAAGAAATGCAAACGGAGGTAGTGATCACGAAGGACGACTGATCAATAAATGCTTATGTGCTGGCAGCCAGACTCCCTGGCTGGGGGGGTGGGATCACAGAGTAGATACAGTGGTGCAAAAACATTAAACAGGCTAAGTTTAGTTGCAAGACCTCTGTGATGCAATTAAAAAATAAGTAGAATAAGCCAAAGCTGATGTTTGCGGTGGATATTTCTGATAGGATTACTACTACTATATCTACTTGTCACTTCAAATAGATGCTCCTTTCATTTTCTCCAATTTTTTGCCTCTTTAGGAGAGGATGGTTCGGAGTCTCACGCAGAGACACCCGGCAGCGATACCAGCCAGGAAAGTCACCTCTACCAGACATGTACCGGCACAGCCCTGAAGGTGCTGGGCGGCCTCCTGATGGTGCTGTGTGTTTCCTCCTCCTGGGTGGGCACCACTCAGGTCGTGAGGCTCACCTTCCAGTCATTCTCCTGTCCCTTCTTCATCTCCTGGTTCAGCAGTAACTGGAACATCCTCTTCTTTCCCCTCTACTACTCTGGACATGTAGTAACCACAAGGGACAAGCAGACTCCCATCCAGAAATTTCGGTAAACCCCCTGAAAGTTTGACTTTGCGTATTTTTTCACATTTCCATTGTTACCATGTATAACATGCAGGCTAAATAGAAAAAAATACTGACATTTTCAACTAATCATTATTCATGTTAATTAAAATAATGCAAAAAAAATTAAAAAATCCGCTTAACACAAAAACTCCAACGGGACTCTTCACAAATTTTGTGTAAGGTTTGTAGCTACCAGATTGCATCAGCAGTGAATTGATTTGCGTAACGCCAGCGTGCTTTTCCAGTGAGCACATTCGAATGAAAGGGAAGAACTAATAAGCTTGAACATTTAGTTTAGGTATGTGAAAATATGAAAATAAGAAAAATATAGATATGCTTTTCCTGAAAGTGTTTGTTTGAAAATTGATAGAATTAGTAGTAAAGCTATTTTATGCCAAACCCAAAGTGCATGATAAAGAAGCTTTAAACCATCAAATCTTTCATGCGTTGATGTATTCCTCTGTTTCCCTCTGAAAGGGAGTGCAGCAAATTCTTTGGAGAGGATGGAATGACTCTCAAGCTTTTTGTGAAGAGGACAGCACCTTTCTCCATTCTGTTGACGCTGACCAACTACCTGTATCTCTTAGCCTTAAAGAAACTGACTGCCACTGATGTCTCCGCCCTCTACTGCTGCCACAAGGCCTTTGTTTTTCTACTGTCATGGATTGTCCTCAAGGACCGGTTCATGGGTGTCCGGGTGCGTATGAATAAATCCTGGAGGGAAGAAGAAAAAAAAACTGTTGGGGTGATCATTTTTCTTACTCAAAGTTGTCTCTGTAGATTGTTGCAGCCATAATGGCCATCACAGGGATTGTCATGATGGCTTATGCCGATGGTTTCCATGGTGATTCCTTTGTGGGTGTGGCATTGGCAGTAGGCTCCGCCTCCACTTCAGCGCTCTATAAGGTTCGATGCCAAACATTTCACAGGCCGAACTCGTATGACTGCCTGCACTCAGCTGAACACTATTTGCATGATGACTGACTGAGTGTTTGTTTTTATTATTTCCTAAATCTCCATCAAAGGTGCTGTTCAAGATGTTCCTTGGCAGTGCCAATCTGGGAGAGGTAGCTCATTTTCTTTCAACCATGGGCTTCTTCAACCTTATCTTCATCTCCTGTGTGCCCCTTATCCTCTACTTCACCAGGGTAGAGCACCTGGGCTCCCTGTCCTCAGTGCCCTGGGGATACCTCTGCGGACTGGCAGGGCTGTGGTTGGGTGAGATAACATAAACATCCTTTAGTAAAAGGCGAGGAATACTTTTCAATTGTTCATCTTCATGAACAACACATCAGGAGCTCATGTGACCTTGTGACTTGATGGGTATGTCGGGATCTCGACGTAGGCAGTTAGCCATCATGTTTTCTTCACTGTAAAAGGAGAAAACATCTGAGAATCCATAGCGAGAGTGGGTCTGTCATGAAATATGCAAGAAATAGAGTTGTGGCATGCTGTCATTTCTTTCTAAAACATAGAAATGCGTATGCTATGTTTGTCAAGCAGATCTGGACAAAAGGTCTTGGCAAGCCCCGAAACAAGGACAGATACTTAGATTATTTACCTATTTTTTCAGTAGTCATTTCATGCATTTGTCAACATTTTCTATATCTCTATATCTTTCAGTGTTCAACATCCTGGTCCACGTTGGAGTGGTGCTGACTTACCCCATTTTAATCTCCATAGGGACACTTCTCAGTGTACCAGGAAATGCAGGTAAGGCTTTTCTCCCCCAAAGTATCACCTCCAGTGTACTAATCAGATCCTTTCACAACACCGCAAGTTAACAAACCTGAGAAAAAGAGTGACTGAGGCACACATGCTGGGGCCTTTGTACTGAGGGTCAGCAGTTAGGGCCACCGTACCAAACGCATTACGCAGCAAGTCTGCCACTTTCATCCTGGAAACCTAATCATCGGTATACGGACCCAGCAACTATGATCTCGCTAAGGGAGGATCAAGTTGCCAAGGCAATACAAAATGCCTGCAGACGAGTTTGTTTCTTTAACCATGATGGACAGTATGAAGGTCAGTGGGTTATGGCCACTTGTCCCTGAGGTCCTGACCACAAAGACAAAGAGGATAAAGTAGATTGCTTGTGCTGATTATAAGCTGCATTTGTTACACTCATCCCTTCCAGCCTCCGTGTCCTGTGGTTTATCTTACTTTGTGTAATTAATCTCAATTTGTTTTTGCTCCCCCCACCCTTTCTACCCTCCGTGTCTGTGCTGTGCTTTGGCTCCCTCTTTTGTTCCCGTCTCCCTTTTTCTCCCCGTAGCTGTGGATGTTTTGAAACACGAGGTGATCTTCAGTGTGGTGCGCCTGGCAGCCACTTGCATCATCTGCCTGGGGTTCCTGCTCCTGCTGCTGCCAGAAGAGTGGGACTCTGTCACGTTGCGTTTCCTCGCCAACATCGCAGATAAGAAGTCCGAGGAGCATGGAGAAGAGCTCACCGAGTCCAGTGTTCAAACCCGAAGCCGCAGTCGGGCAAACGGCACTGTTTCCATCCCCTTAGCGTGACAGGGCTGCGTTCTCGCATTAACTACTAGTTGATGAGTTCTGAAGCGTGGTCCGCTCTCCTTCCTCCACTGCCCACCCCGGAGGTGTGGCTGGATGCTGAGGCCACATGGATACATCGATCAAGAAAAAACTGAAGTATTTTCTTGAGCTTTATACTGCACTGTGGTGATCCACCTCCATCACCCCTCAGAAAGAGAGGGGGATTGAGACATTTATGAACCATGCAAACCAAAAGGATTGAAAGTGTTAATTACTTTCTAAAAATATTTGCCATGCTCCGTCCTGACCCTAGCACGAACCCAAACCAAGAGGTGATTGGTTTCTCCCGACATGCTCTGCTCTCTGTATTCTATGAATATAAATATAGGCAGGGCCAGTTTGGCTCAATCATATGTATTTATGACATTTAATTAAATCTATACTAGTAGCGTATCAATTTTAAGTCTTACAGAACTCTGTTAAATATAACAATGTTAAAAAGTAAAAACAATGCGTAATGTACAGGTTCTTTTTGTTTTATAATAAATGACTGAAAACCCTGGAAAAGCCTTCTCAACACAAGACCACCTTTTGTATTTTATTCTATGGCCATAGTGACTTGACTATCTTGCACTGAAATCTGCAAAAACTAAAGAGCAAAGCCATTTCTCCATCACATTACTGGAATATGTCCATTGTAGGAGCTGAAACATCCTCCAGCCTACAGTGTAAAGATGCCCAGCTGAGGTCCTGTTCTGGGATGTTTTTGTTTGTCCTGATGGGTCTTTGCATTTTACTAATTTAATTTAATGTTTTCGGCTATATACACTTGGAAAACATATAGAAAAAAATATTCTTTGTTACAAATCATCTTTCGACATCAACCTCTGTCACAAGCACACTCACACTCTCCCCAGAGCCAAACTACAGTCCTGTCATGGTGGAGTGCAGTCAGTGGGTTGAGACCTCTAATGAGCCATTTGCTGATATGACAGTTTCAGTAAACAGTTGTGGTGGCATTTGAGCACACTAAAATAAATGAGGTAGAAGAAGCAAAGGAATCTTTAATGTTCAAATCTTAATTTCATACTTGCCACTTGTACACAACTGGATGCTGATAAAAGACGCTCAACTGCGTGCCTTTTATCAGACACTTCACTTTGTGTGGTGAAAGACAAATACCGCCGCGGCCACAGCAAGAAATTTATGAATACTTTAAATACTTAGATGATACTTATACAATACTTATACGATACTTTGCTTTATGCTCTATGTTTAACATTTTAGCTTCTTGAGTTGTTCACTTTTGAAAATGAGCTCTAGATAAAGTTGGTACTTATTTGACAAAAGACAAGATTAACCAGTATCCATGAGCCAAGTTTAATGTTTTTAGATGCATCAGTGCAAGTAAAGTTTTCAGCATTTGCGTATACCATCTGGCTTCATGGTGCAACTTTTTGGGTCAGGCCTAAAATGGTCAGACCAGCTGGCTGACTGGTTACCATGAAGCCAACCAATGCTTCTTAGCTTACTCCTGGAACACACGAGAGGAGCCTGAAAACCACAGAGTATCACCCAAAACTGTAGGAGGGTGCTTCTAACTCATATTTCTATAAACATATCAATACTATCATTTTTCACAGAGTTAACATCTTCCCACTGAAGGAGCGCTCCTCTGGGATTTCATAAAACTAACAGAGCCAGGAAAATGACGGGTTCTATGAAGCATCAAGTCATGAGCGATGGAGTAACCAGCAGGGATAGTTGCCACAGAAACCCAGCTAGTTTAAATGAGAGAGAAAATTATGAAAGCAGGGATGAAGTACACACCTATACTTAAAACCACAACCAAAAGTGTTTGTTGCCTTTGTTCCTTGGAACCAGACAACGATGCTTCAGGAGGGGAGATATGACAGCCACTGCATCTGGATCAAACGGCGTAAAAGAGGACTAATTTAACATTACGTTTTTGTTAAATGTAACATGATTTTTGGTAGGATATGCCAGAAAGTTACCAGGATTCCAAAGTTCATAATAAAGTTTCATTTTTAGTGAGAACCTGGTTGTGAAAAAGGCATCTGATGGGTTCCACAGATTCCAGACCCAGTCTGCGTAGGGTAGCTCCCTGTAGTAGTCTGCAAGAAAAGGAACAGAGTCCTAAACCGCAATGGACCGTCCCTGCTCTGCCACACACTATGGAGCAGCCATCGGGATCTCTGAGACAGACGCGAACAACCTTATCGCCACCGCAACAGGATGAGATCCTTCCACCCCTTTCAGGTTTGTCTGTCTTATTTTCTATTGTTTTTACTGTATTTCTAAAGGAGTTGTGGCTTTTCTTTATAGACAGTCTGTGTGTGAAGGAAGAGTCATGCTTTATTTAATCACATTCAGTCAGAGGACCTCAGCTCCGCTTTGCAGGTTCTGCTGCCTAAAAAATGTGTTTTTTGTTTATTACAGGGCAGGGAAACCAGAGATGGGGATGCCCGGCAGTTTTTTATACCCGACCAAGAATGGCCAATGACAGCGATTCAGTAAACCGTTAAGACAAACTATAAAAGAGACCGAAGTCAGCCATGACATCAGTAATTTATATGACACAATTTGAATTAAGGAGCAAAACAAGTGTGTGGATGTGCTGTAAAAGAGGAGGAAAAGGTCTACACACTTTTCTTCCATTCCCAGTGGATCTTATCAAGATGTTAATGGAGTGGAGAGTGGAGTGGTCCACTGGCTCTCCAAAACATATATTTTCAGGATTTATTGAAAAATAAATTCGGAGGATTTAAGAAACTGCTGCTACAGACAAAAAAAATGATTGACCTAACCATAATTCCATCTCTGGAACTAATTATGACTATTACAAATATGCCCATTAGACAAAACACAATTAAGTTAATTTTTTGCATCAGTTACCTGACTGAAATTATCTGAAATTGGATTATAAAATAATTTGCCAACATCCTTTTTGCTGGAGTTACTTGGCTACTTCTTGTGGCTTTATTATTTACAGGGAGGACTTATGAAGGCCTGGGTAACTCTCACTTAATGTCATCAGCAAGTACCCCTCAGACAAGAAACAGCAAACCGAAGATATAAGATTCTCCACATGGTTGATGGTATGTGCCCAAATGATCACCTCCAACTCAATAACTGAGTGTTCCGGTTGGAAATCCATAAGAAGAAAGCATCCACAGGCTGAACCCCTATGGGACCTATAGGACACATAAGGACACGCAAAAGTCTGGACAACAGAGGAGTTCGATCAATGTCGTAGCTGGCTGTCAGAAAAGGAAAAAGAGAACACTACACAAAGTACAAAATAGTGGGAGGATGTGGTCTGCATGAATCTGTCATGCAGGGAGGACGGGTTGCACAGAAAGGATTTTGGTTGGTAAGCTCTAGTGAGAGTGCTCTTTGTTGTAGTAATCTGGATCAGAAACAGCTGAAACTAAAGTCCGATAAATCAAATTAATTGCTAAAGGAGTTTGAACCATCTTGCGATTGAAGATTTTACATAAAGAAAGTTTACAAAGATGCTGATGTTCCCTTACATCAAAAGACAATCCTGATTTATTTTCCTCAAGTATTGAATAGTGTGGAAATTGTCTAAACCTGTTACTTAGTTTTACATTCATATCAGATTTTATCTTTAGCAAATAAACTACAGAACAAACTGTTGTAAATTAAATTAAATAAAAAAATACTTTATTTATCCAAGAGGGTAAACAAATGTTGGTGTAACTCATTTAGTTAAGAAGTTATTATATTTATATAATAATATATATAGTTAATACATTTAGAACACAGTTTGTAAAGTAAAGGATGTCTTTGGTTGTGATTATTCTCCACATTTACACATATTGTAAAATATCTTTAGCTTTTTCTTGTGTCTTGTATCAAGTACTGATCAAATTCAAGTTGAGTTCACACTATTAGAGAATATAGATACCAGCTTTTCTCAGTTTCAGTTGTTTAACCAATTTAAATGTTTGATCGAATTATTTTCCGAATTGTAAAATGATTTTCTAATACACTTTTACACAGTGCCCCTTCTTTTTTTTTATTTGTTTAGGTTTTTTTTAAGTAGTGGAAATAAAACTGCAATAAGACAAAATCTGAGCTATGTCAAATGGATAGATGTTCAGGACATGCTCTTTGGCAAATTTCTATGGTGAGTTTCTGGTGCCCTCTGTAGGGGAAAGTAATGCATTTGTATTAAGTCAGTGAATCTTAACCCCCATCAATACAGAATGCAACCATCCAAAAGTAACTTTCTTATTCTATTATTCAAAATCTGGTGGGGAAATAAGCACAGAAGGAACATTCAGTTTTCAAAGATATTCTTTTATCTGAAACTAGGCAAAAGCCCCTTGAAGAATAATCAGACTGAAAACAAGAAAATACTAATTGCAGCGTCATTCTTGAAGCAGGCTCCCTGAGGCAAGCTCTTAAGAGACTTAGAGGGGCTGAGAAGAACTGGACCTCTACCAAACACATGCAGCCCCTGTTAATGTTATAAGCCTTGTCCTCAGGCACGGTGCATTTGATGAATGATAAAGGGATCACATCACACAGCATGTGGACTCAAATCAGCAGAGATAATCTGCTGGTGGCTCAGTGGAACTTACTCAATAGCAGACATGTGAATAAAAATGTGTTCAAGAAATCAAAACAATTGAACACGTTTCTATTGTTCTCTGCCACTGGGGGTCATTATTGGACTAAGGGAACTATTTAAGGATTAGATAACAACAGCGGTATAACTAGTGCTAGAACGAAAAAAAATGTTTTGTGTAAAAAGGATTTACAATTGAGCTATCTCAATAAACTGACTTGTATTCAACCACAGTGTTTCAGTTTAATTTTGGTTCATTTGATTTTTCATATATTTACAAAAAGCTCATTTTATTTATATGATCAAACAGGTCCAAACGAATAATTATGAATTTTAAAAAAAGCCATAAGGTTAGAGTGCAGGCACTGAAGCAGAGAAACATATTAAAACGATCTACTTAGCAAGCTATTTAATCAACAAAGCAAAGTCTGCCAGTGAGAGGCCACTGACTACAGACTCGAGGAGCCAGACTGACCACATATTGGGACCCTGAAGGGATTTAGATTGGCCCAACTCTTCAAAAAACGTATCCTTTTCCAGTCAGCTAGCCACACATACTGGGCCTTAAAGCCAAATTATTGTGGAGGGGGGGCGCTGAGAGGTCTCGGTGTCTGCCATTCCATACAGCTACATAAAAAGAAGGTGAAGGATGCCGTGTGAGCAATTGGTTCCAATTGACAGAAGATTGGTCATGGTCAGCCCTCTGAGTGGAAATCCACGTGAGAATGTAACATTTGGACCAGCAAGGGGCACAACAGGCCAATGGCAGACAATGAGGCCACTCAGAGGAGTCTGGCTGCTGTGGAATAATGGGGGCACGATCTCCTCTGATTTAACCCTTCGTCAGCTGTTTATTCATTCAACTTAAAACACTGAGTTGCAGGTTAAGTAGAATAAATGTCACCCCTCTGACATGTATGACTCCAGTAACATACCTTGAAAATGGAGAAAGCATCTGAAAACAAATAGTTTAACAACAGTTTTTCTAAATGCCCATCAAATAAAAAGATTTTTCGGAATTTCGACAAAGATCATGATACATTTAAAATCTGCTTTGCCTGGCTAATGGCACATCTGTAGCCTAAAAATGGCAAATCAAGACAATGCTTGTGACTTTTTCACCAATTAGGCAACTCCTGCTTATTGAAAGGGACCGGCTGCTTCAAGTCCCAGAGGGTCAGCGCTCAATCAGTCCGGTTGGAGGGGTTGTGTGTTTGAATGAGCCACTAGCTGACAGGCTGGGGACGGGGGTTAAAGGAGGTGGGGGTAAGTGAGCAGTATTGGTAAGAGGTCTTGCCAGCTTTAAAGAGAAGCCTTTTGTAGCCAAGACGCTGGCCAGAGCGGCCTGGCCTTTCACAGTCCGGCCAGCCCCACTCCTCCCGCCCCAGGACAGCTGATGACAAGACCCCAGCTGCTAATTATCCGGCTGACGGAGAGTCACTCAAGTGGGACTGTCAGAGCAAGAGGTGGCCTTTGTGTCTGAATTTGAGGGAGGGTGAAGGTTCGGGGGGTAAAAACGCTCAACTACGTGGGCGTTTTTACAAAGGGCCTTAATTATCAAGAAAATGAATAAATGATCCTACCAGGTAAACAGTCTTGTATTATGTACAAAAAGTGACATTTTTTAACCCTCTTGAACCAGTGGGTCACATGACACTGCCTGACATGTCTTCCTCATTTGACCTTTAGCCTGAGATCCATGCTATAACATCATCTGTCCAGAAGACACGGGTGCAGTGCCTGTTGAATTCCATATGAAGTACTCTTTGGACTGAAGTTCTCTGGCTGAGGATGGAACAGAGAAAGAGAAAGTTTTCTCATTTTCATAAGACACAGTCAATACAAAAAAAACAAAAATATATGCTTATACTAAATCTACTGTAAGCTTACATGTAACAATCCGTGGTTTCGCAGAGGAATAAACTTGTACTGAATGCTGGTCGACACAGCAACCAGACAACGTCATGTCAGGCACTTTGAAGTACAACTGGGAAGAAAAAAAAGACCTTTAAGGCTTTATGGCCTATAGGTTGTACATTTTAAATCCACTTGACTGTATCGCAGCAGGGAAGAGCTGAAGGTGATCTAAGTAGATCGTGAATAAATTCATTTTTTTCTCATCTATCTTTAAAACCCAACAGGAATTTTTATTACAAAATGCAACCTTTTACCTTAATGTAAGCAGTAAGTTGTGTGCAGAGGGGATCAGAAGGTCCGGGTGTTGGCCCAGAAAAAACAATCTTGCCCTCCATTGTGACTTCACGAGACTTTGGAAACTTTTGGCCTACACATTTGTGACACAAACAAAACAAATTATACGGCTTTGCTGAACAAGATTATTTTCAAATCGGATGCTCATAACTAAAATGCATACCCAGAGCCCAGACCAGCAAGTTCTTCTCCTTTGAAACATCCAGTTGTCCAGAGCTCACCTTCACATCCACAACACCCATCTGAGCCCTGCACGGAACACACACACACAAAACTTTCCACACATGCAAGCTGGAAGGTGTTGTTATCTTATCTTATGGAGCACTGGTCTAGCCACAGCATCTGACTGGTTAAAGATCACAAATACTATCCTTCATTGACGACTTCTGAGTGAATGGGGAGCATGGGGGAACAGAATGACTAATTGGAGCAGACGGAAGGTCATAAAACAGATGTTAATAAGGATCAAATCAATCTTTTACTTAAACGCTTGTAAGACTTTAATAAACACGGACACTACGTTTGAGGGACACAAAATTTGGACACCAAGATTTTGATCATTCAAATGAATGAGCACCACCCCTAAATGTTGAAAATCATGTTGAATTCAATAAAAACCACTTTGGCTACTCCCTGGTGATAAAGATCATTCCCTGACTGTCTGACAGGAGGACATCTCACCAACTAAAAAGCAAGAAGCTGTCAGGAGTTGTGTTGCATGACGCTGTTTACCTGTTGAAGAATGGCAAATGTGCGTCGCAGTACTCAAAGCTGTTTTTAACACTCTCGTGGAGTTTGAGGGCAACTGACACACGGAGCTGGTTTTCTTCTTCTTTCAGCTGATATGAACCCAGGATGGGGGGTACAGGAACCTGATGGAAAATGTCATCAGGACTCCCTTTTCAAAATGAAGGATTGTGCAGGTGGTTATTAAAATCCTTGATGTTGTGTGTATTTCTATACCTGAGACGTGTAACTGCATAATCTGAAAGGCTCTAGAGGTGGGGAGAAGGGGAACTTATATGGTCCTGAGAAAGATGAACCGTCGTAATTATCCACACTGCTGGCAGTCAGGATACTAGAATCCAGTGAGGTGACACAGGGATGGACCAGGATGTCCTGCAGCGGAGAGCCGTTTGGTGGCAGTGAGAGGGTCACCGTCACGTTCGGGAGCACCCCCTCTACTTCACACTGCGGACAGAAGCACAGAATGACGGCAGGGAAATGGTCGATACGCTACAGCATTTACTCGTGTCCTCGCATCAAGCACTCACTTTGCATGTCACGGTGCCAAAAACATCCCACAAATCCTGCCTGCTCTGGTTTCCGTACTGCATGGTGCGCACCGTCTCTACCAGCGCCACGTTCACCGCAGCCCGACCCCGGTGCAGGCCAGTCTTCCAGGCCGGCTGCTTCTGGGTGCCGGTGGAGGTGGGCACTGCGGGCGATGAGGGTGCGCCAGTTAAAGGCACATCGAGGGGTGTGCCAAGTGGACAGACCTGCAGGAGGACCGAGGGCATCATTCCCAGACGGGCCACTAGCCCCTCATTATCAGGTTTGCTCCCTGGGCCAAGCAGAAAGGTCTGAATGCCTGCGAGTAGCGTCAGACCCTGTGAGACTGACAGCAGGCTGGACAGAGGTGGACGAGGCTCGGGAGGGGCATTGACTAATGGTACGCAAGCAAGGATGAGAGGCCCCTGAGAGATGGTCAACACAGGCCAAAGCGCTCCCTTCCCGGGTCCATCAACGCACAGTTCCAAGGCAGGTGACCGTGGCCGGTACAGGCAATCATCTCGGGCAGCTACATATGGCTTGCTGGGGTCTGAAAGCCCCAACTCAGTGAGCAGGAGCTGCAGGAAAGTGCTCTCATCTGGGACTGCCACATATGATGAACCTGCCAGGCTCTTTGCACGATGTTCCACAGTAGAAAACCTCCTGTGGGGGGGACACAACAATTACCTTCATGCTGTGTGACAGTAAACCGTCTAATTTGGTCCTCAACTGTATAAACGAGGATTTATCAGTGAGACGTTCTAACTTAGAACAACAGGTCGTTCACAAACCTTGAAAAGCGTATTGTCACATTTTCCCCCTTTTCCTGAGAGATAATCCACAAAGCGCGCACACTCATTTATCCAGCTACCGTAAATACCTCAGTATATGCGTTTGATGAAATGGATGGCCTCGAAAATCAATATGCACTCCTTCCCGTTAATGTTTTGTGATGCATTTCTCCTTACTGTATGTATATCTCTGAAGCAGCGACTCACTTCCTGCAGCTCACTCATGTGACAACTGGCCAATCAGCCGACCTTTACGCATGCGCACCGCAAATCATCTGTCCCCACCCTTTTCTCCCATACAGGAAGCTGTATTACTAACAAGCTAACTGTCAACAAAGGGCAAAACTGTGCAAAATAGGCACATCCATGCAGAAGGCGGCTGTGTTGTTGACTTTGGGTTCCTCCTCCTAAAAGCAAAACGCCACACCGCCGCCAGCCGAATTCTGAACATGGCGACCACCGCTCAGCTGTTCGAGGTAAAACGACTGTTCCTGTTCTGTTAGCTAGCAGGCTAACAGAAAGCTATCTATTAATAACGGGCGCCTAACGGCCCCCAACCATACGTATGTTCACAGTGTGCTAACAAATATTTGTAGTTGCGCGTGCATTTGGCAATGGCGACATGTCGTAACGCAGAAGGAAAAGAGGGCAAATGTATGCTTTGCATGAGTTTGCGTATTTGAGAAAAATGGCTGTATGTTTGGACTGCGTTAAATTCACCAGAGAGCAAATCCTGTGTCCTGTCAGCGTCGCTTCATTCGGTCACGTTTTGGGATAAACGTCACTTCACCGACTGCTTTCTGTCTCCTTGTAGGAGCCCTTTGATGCAGATGAGTACATTGAAAGGTTGGCATGGAGGACTCCAGGAGGAGGCTCAAAAGGAGGAGCTGAGGCATTCGACCCCAAAAGGTAGTTTTAGCTACCTGTCATCTACATTTACAGTGACTCCTAAATCCCCCCCCCCCCCCCCCCCCCCCCCCACACACTCACACACACATTATGAGGCCACAGGTTTATTTTTACCATAGGGAAACAGATTTGTCCACAATTTGCTTGTATTTCTTGTTTTCCTGATTTCTAATAATAAAAAATAACACACTGATGCAGCCAGTAAATACTTTACCAAGTACATTTTCAATGTTGAAAGAAAACTTGGTAGCCGTGGTTATCATAAGCAAGTTCTCAAAAGATTTCTGAGTACACTTTATAATGCACATGCTTTTTAAATAAACCATAAGTGTTATTCTATCATGAGGCTGTGAGAGACATAAACACACTACTTTTTGAAATGGCATTATTTATACTCATCCCTTCAATTCACAGTTGTGAAATAATCATCTCATCTACAGTTCATTTTAGTAAAGAAAAGTGATGATGTTGTTGACTGTCTGATTAGCATGTAGCAGGATAACAGCATTCTTTAACTACACAACGGATTCATTATAACTGTGCAGGTGATGTTGCTGTACATCTGATTGAAAATATATATTTTTAATGTTGACCCTTTCTCACATTCTCTCCTCTGACCTTGTTGATGGTTATTCCAAGATTTTTTTAAATCAATACTTGGTTTAAAGACCACACATTTTCAACATTGCCTTTGTAGCCATTTTGCCCAGTGTATTATATCAATTTCATAGAATAATGCTGATAATGTTCATACATAATTTCCACTGTAACTAATGCATAATGTGTCTGAATATGCACAGTGGCGCTTCTTAATTGGGCCTAAGATTAGTAAATAGCATACCAAAAATGCTTAGAAATATTTTAACATTTGAATTTTATTTCACAATTAGATTAATAAATTAATAATAAATCTCAAAATATACATTGTTTCAAAGTGTCTTAAACCCCCTCAACCAACACGTTGGCCTCCTCTGCACTAATTCAGGTTTTGATATGCTGGAAAATGTGGCAGAATAATTTTTTTTACAAATCCTTTGCATGCTTTTCATCTGCATTTATGTTTACTCTTGGGGACAGAGTTGCATTTTGTAAGCAAAAAAGCCAAAAACAGTACTGCAGATCCATCCTGCCTTATCTTCTTCTACCACAAACTATTGCCACTACCTCCTTGAAAGCTCTTAGTGAAGAGCTAGAGACAACATATCCGTGGAGGCCACCATACTGTGAGTCACCAGCCAGGGAATGAGTGTCTGTTGGGGAGGGATGGGAGATGTCTTTAAGCTCTAGCTAGTGCTGAAGGAATTAGTCAGAAGATTATACACTCATCATTTTGGGATGTTTCATACTCTGTGAAATGTGATGCTGACTTGGAACATTTGATTTGCAGTCCTAATGGCACTCAGAATGCAGCTGACGAAGCTGCTAGTTTGCAGAGCTTCTTAAGTGTGGGGACCCAGGAATTAAGTATATGGCACCATTCTGCAACTATTGACTGCAGCTGTGAGGTCACTGGGGCAGATTTAACCCTGTGGTCCCTAATTACTCTTCCAAAGCACAAAGCATGTTTTACATGTTTTACTTGTTGCTTATTAAGGTTGTTGGATAGGTTATTTAAACCAGTGTGACACTCTGTGTATACACACCTTCTCTCCTCTCTGATAGGCTGTTGGAAGAATTTGAGAGTCATATTGAAGAGCTGAAGCAACTGGATGAGAAGATCCAGCGGAAGGTGGAGAAGCTTGAGTATCAGTGTCATCGTGAGGCCAAGGAATTTGCACACAAAGTCCAAGACTTGCAGAGAAGCAACCAGGTGTGTTGTGTGACTTTTACCTTAATCCCTTTGGCTCAACACAAAGCTAGTTTCTTACTTCTCATTCTCTTTGGTTTGTACCAATTCAGGTAGCCTTTCAGCATTTCCAAGAACTGGATGAGCACATCAGCTACGTGGCCACCAAAGTTTGCCACCTTGGCGACCAGCTGGAGGGGGTAAACACACCTCGCCAGAGAGCTGTGGAAGCCCAGCGTCTGATGACCTACTTCAACGAGTTCTTGGATGGAGATCTACGCAGCGATGTTTTCAATAACCCAGACAAGGTGTGTATACTGCACATGCTCTTTTAAGTCACATCTAAGGAGGTGTGTGTGTGTGTGTGTGTGTGACCATTGATGAGGGTCCCTGCTGTGATACTGCTGGAGGTGAGTATGAACAGGATTACGAGGTAAACCATCCATGTTAATTTGTCAAGTTTATCCCTTTAGTTGCATCCCTCAGCTAATTTGGATTAATAAACTGTCATTTGCTGTCTGACGATAACCGACTGATTGACTGGCATGGATGTCAACATGCTCCTGTCAAATCTAATTGCATTAAGAGTTAGTTAACTGATTGAGAAGTTATGTGTTCACTGCTTTGTGTCACAGAAGTTTCTAGCAGTACAGTACCTGTAAGGACAGCAAAAAGGTGCACACTAAGAAATGACATACATTTCTTAGCTGCGTTATTGTTTTTGTACAACCAACACACCTAAATGTTTGAGTCTGCTTTGTTTTGTGTGAGTGACATTAGAGAGAGTAGGATGCTTCAGATGAATGTCCTTTAGTGGAGACATCATGACATGATGCAAAGAGGTTTGTCTGGAGGTCAGTGAATGAGACAAAAGCTGGATGTGGAGCTAGTTTTCCGAAAAGGCACGCGGAAATATCTGGCCAGATTCCTTTTCCTGAGCATACCTTCATACGATGGGGAAAAGAGGAAAGCTGCAAGTGAATAGCTGAAGGGGGATGGCTTTGCTAATCCTTCTGAAAGGGAGGGCTGGGCCGCCAGCGTGGAGACAAGTGGTGCTAAACCCTGACTGCAGGGAGACGGCTACATTACTTACATGGGATTTAGCTAATCTTAGCTGGGGGACAGATACTTAGAAAACCTTCGCCGAGCAGAAAGGCTGGATCCTCCTCACGGGAGCAGAGTAATGATGTTAGCTGAGGCAGGCATCTGCGGGAACAGAGGAGTTGCGGACGGCGGGCCTTTCGTAGGTCTTGGGCTTTTTTTTTGCCTGCGTGTATATCAGGAGGGGAGGGGAGGGGGTGTCTCAACAGGGCCCCCTTTTTTTGACAGATATCCCTGGCCGGACAGATTATTGAAGGCGATTTAGAGTCCTGTGGGATTACAGCCCATTCAGAAAAGGCTTGCCAATAAAGAGTTGGATGTGCTGCTAAGCCAGGACTGCTGCTGTTGCTGCTGCTGATGCCCAGGTGAGCGCAGCCCGCCTGTTATCAGCTCCCTGTTTAACGCAGGGGAGGTGGAGGAAGGCTGCTCTAAGATGATGATCCCCCAAGTGGAGACACTGCCGGCAGCCTGCCCACTTTCTGTTTGGATGTCCACCTCACATGGCTCCATCGCGCTCTCTCTCTTTGTCCCTCACCTGACATCTTTCTCCCTCCGAAGCACACACACTCACACATCTCACCTTTTCTCTCCCCTGCAGATTAAGGAGGCTGCTGATATCATTCAGAAGCTGCATCTCATTGCCCAGGAGCTTCCATTCGACAGGTGAGTCAGGCATCCTGGAGGCAGCTTTAGACAGGAGCACTGTCAAACAAGAGGAAGGTGGTGTATTAATTATATTATCTATTCCTCGCAGCGTAATCCTTAGAAAAAGTATCAAGCATCACACAATTTAAATTCGGTATAATTTATAATAATAAAAATGAAAAGCCGCTATCTCATTTTCTATTTGTGTATTATTCATCATTTTCTGCCTCTTGCTTTGTTCGTTTGTGACAGGTTCGCAGATGTCAAGGCAAAAATCGCAAGTACGTTTCTGACAATGATAATCAGCTAAGCCTTTTGTTATGAATGAAACGGAAATTTGAACCACTTAATGAAACTCTGCCTTAACTTCTGACCAGGTAAATATCATGACCTGGAGCGTCAGTTAATCCAGGAGTTCACTGCTGCCCAGCGCAGGGGCGAGATTGGTCGAATGCGGGAGGTGGCGGCAGTTCTATTACATTTCAAGGTGACCTGGAAGACATTTTAAATCTGTAGTCTTACTGTGTGCAGGCTTTTCCATGGACCCCTTTCTGTTATTTTTTCCGGTTCATGATGGAAAGACATGGGTCTTGATGTCTTTCGATTTTATGCATTGACGTACTGCAATGTTGTTTTTTTTTTTTTAAAGGGCTATGCACACTGTGTGGATGTTTATATCAAGCAGTGTCAGGAAGTGAGTGTTTCATGTTTTTGTTACGCATATTACTCAGTATCTTTTTACGCTGACAGGCAGAGCATTGACATATTTTGGCTCTGTCCCTCTAAGGGTGCTTACCTCAGGAATGATGTGTTTGAAGACACGGCGGTTCTCTGCCAGAAGGTCAACAAGCAGGTGGGCGAGGTCTTCAGCAGTCCAGAGACCGTCATGGCCAAACTCATCCAGAACATCTTCGAGAACAAACTACAGGTATTTTTTTGCTGTGGCCTGTGGGTTTTTAGATGCTACATGGACATGCCTTGTACGTTGTAATTCTCATTTGGCTTTGTTTCTCCAGGCTCACGTTAGGGAAAAACTCGATGAAACTCGACACTCTGATGTTGAACAGTACCTCAAAAACCTGTATGACCTTTACACAAGGTAAGAAATGGTTCCCTTGTAGTTTGACCCACTTTTTCTGTGCTCAGTGACCATTGTTCTTATCTTTTCTCTCCTAATGTTTGATCTTTCCAGGACAACGACTTTAGCCACAAAGCTTACAGAGTTCAACCTGGGCTCAGACAAGCACACATTCCTGTCCAAGTTGATAAAGAGCATATTTTCCTCTTACTTGGAAAGTTATATTGACATGGAAAGGGAATACCTGCGTACTCGAGGAGCCATGATTCTGCAGCGATACTATGACTCAAAGAACCACCAGAAACGCCCCATTGGCACCGGCAGGTCAGCTCTTTTCCTGTTCTTTTTCTAGAAACGGTGGTCTTAAATATAAGTTATTGATAAGAATAATAAGAACCTGTATGTATTTCTAGTATTCAAGAACTGAAAGAGCGTATCAGACAGCGTACAAATCTCCCCCTCGGGCCCAGTATTGACACACATGGGGAGACTTTTCTGTCCCCCGAACTGGTTGTCAACCTGTTGCAGGAGACCCGCCACGCCTTTGAAAGGTGTCACAAGGTGAGGCTCCTTTGGCCACTGTGAATTGAAACCTCCCATACTGTGGTGTGCACGTGTGTTACATTTTTTCTTTAATGTAACACAGCTTTCAGATCCCTCTGATCTGCCCAAGAATGCCTACTCAATATTCCTGCTGCTAGTTGAACATCTGTGTGTGGATCACATTGACTACGCCCTGGAGATTGGTCTGTCAGGTAAATGAAACCTAGCTCCTATAATCACAATGCCCTTTTATGGTCTGCTGTGGGTGTGGCAGCAGTTGTCTCAGGTACAGACCCAAAGTCCTCATCAGACTCTGCTGTTACACTCTTTGCTTAGAAATTTTTATTCTATTCTATTGATTTTCCTGCCTAAATGAATGTATTAAAAATGATCTGGAAAGGCATCCTCTTATGTTTGTATGTTTATGTAAATGTAACAGTGTTGTTTAGATATAAAAAGATTTGATAGTAAATTTGTGAGACAACAAAGGACTTTGGTCAGACAGATAACAAGCATACAGTGTAGGACTGGAGTGATCCAAAAATAACAACAAAACAAATCATTGTCTCAGTTTCACTAAAACTGGATTTCAGAAACATGTCTTTTTGTTACTATGGGTGAATTAGTCAAAACCAAACTAACAAATCCAGATTGCATGGTTAAGAATTAAAACACTCCGGTATTCATTCACTCAGGCAGATTAAAATGTGCACCGAACATGCGTCAGAGTTAAATCTTTTTGTAAAAACAGTAATGCTGCAGATTTCTCAATAGACCTGCTCTCATTCATGTATCTGTTTCTTCGTCAGAGAGCTAAGCCCATATGAAACTGCGACTGAAAAGCAGCCTGTTAAAACTACATGTGAAATCCTGGTTGCTTGAAGCAACATTTGAAGAAACTTCTACTCTGCTCAGAAATAAAATCCTAATTTATACCGGCAGCATCATCTGACAAAATACATCATTTTGCAAGACTTACTTGAGCGCTGATCCACCTGGGAAGTTAAAATATTCTCAAGTTTACTTGTATATACACATATCTGTGTGTATGTGGGTGTGTACGATGCATATATATATATATATATATATATGTATATGTTATAACTATGTCCTTGCTGTCTTAGGCTAAAGTTAAACAATAAAGACCAGGCTGTGCTTTTCTGCACACTGAAATGTATTGATTTATGCTTTATGCCTTACCTTCTAAATTCTTTTCTTTGATATACAGCAATTCCCTCATCTGATGCCAAGAATGCCAACCTGTATTTCTTAGATGTGGTTCAGCAGGCCAATTCCATCTTTCACTTGTTTGACAAACAGTTTAATGACCAGCTCATGCCTCTGATAAGGTTAGCCATGGTTATAAAGAATAAAAAAACAAACGTATTATATGATTTCTGTACTTAAAAACTTTAAGTTTACCTTTCCACATGTGTACACAGCTCATCCCCAAAGTTAGCAGAGTGCCTACACAAGAAAAAAGAGGTGATAGAACAAATGGAAGTGAAACTGGACACAGGAATCGACAGGTCGGTGTGTTTCTAGCAGGTTTAAAACATCTCTTGTTTGTTCAAACAAACCATTTTCTAACGTATTGGTTTATGCTCCTCGCAGAACATTAAACTGCATGGTGGGCCAGATGAAACACATACTAGCAACAGAGCAAAAGAAAACTGATTTCAGACCTGAGGACGAAAACAATGTGATGATCCAGTACACCACGGTAAGAACTGAGCTCTCATGCAGTGAAAAAAAATGCACATTGTTAATCAGCTTCTTCCTCACATCATCTTGTTTTTCTTTGAGAAACCAGACACTTTTTTCTTAATTACAGTTTGTTTCAGGTTCACAAACATGTTCCCCCTTCTTCCCCACAGGCCTGCTCCAAAGTATGTGCCTACGTCAGTCGGCAGGTCGAGCACGTGCGGAAGTCCATGGATGGGAAAAACGTGGACACGGTGCTGACGGAGCTGGGCATTCGTTTTCACCGACTCATCCACGAGCATCTCCAGCAGTACAGCTACAGCTCGATGGGAGGCATGCTGGCCATCTGCGACGTGGCTGAATACCGACGATGCGCCAAGGACTTCAGGGTGAGCTGGGGACATGGCTGCAGGATGCGCTGGTGTCAGGGCAAACACCGTCCACCTACAACCTAGGTTGTGGGTGGAACCTGCTACCTATTACTATTTTTATGAACCAATTATTTAATAAACCAGATTGCTTGCAGAAGTCCTTACTTGATCACAAACAGATTCTTTTTTTTTCTTAAGTAGTAATCTTGCACTGCATCAAAATACAAACCTACATCAGTATGTATCAGTGGACAGGACACATTGGTTTTCTGCATAAGTTGCTTTCAGGGGACCAAAATTTAAAAAATCTCATAGCAAATAAAGGTGTGAACTGCCCCGCTGAGTCCTTTTCACAAAGCTGAGCGTGCATCCTGATATAGAATCTTGGGTTCATCTTTTACTGATTCTGTTGTCCTTCAGGTCCCACTGGTGCTGCAGCTCTTCGACACGCTCCACGCCCTCTGCAATCTCCTGGTTGTTGCTCCTGACAACCTGAAGCAAGTCTGTTCTGGGGAGCATCTCACCAATCTGGACAGGAACCTGCTGCATGCCTTTGTCCAGCTCAGGGTGGACTACCGCTCAGCCAAACTGGGCCGACACTTCAGTTAATGACTGCCTGAGTGCCCCGTCGTGCTCCGTCCAGTAAAAAATGCTTAGATGAGATGATGCACCTTGAAAATACCCGTTACCACTCCAGAACACGCGTCGGAGTGGCCGCAGCAAAATGGACTAAACTGGGTTTGGAAGACTGCTGCTCCTTAAATTTGGGAAATGTGCATTTTAACTTTTCTTCATTGTTTATTTCTCTGAGCTGTTGAGATTTGAATGACTTAGGATTTCATTTGTTTTTAAATACTAATCCATCACCAGTTCATCTGGTTGAGATGTCTGACACGCTGTCAGTGAATGGACGATGCAGATTTTTGTGCTTACGTAAAAGAAACATGTTTTTTGCTTGTGCCAAATATATGAGTTATGCAGCGGCCCAGCTGCTTGAAAGGGAAACTGTCAACAAGCTGTAAAGGCAGATACCAGCCCTGCAGCTGCGCCACATATTGGAACAGTTGCTCTTTGGGGTGGATTTTAGGTGATCTAACAAACTGTCTGGCTCAGAAGGACACATGACCACCTCTGTACCCTTTAACCCTTCACCACAAAGTAAAAGTCAAGAGGCCATCACAGAGCAGTCAGACCCGGGCTGTAAACAGGTCTGAGAACCTCTCTGGAGGTATGGGTGGTCCCTTCATGGCTCAGATGATTGGTGCGATGGGTCACCGAGTATGTGTCACTGTAATTGCACAGATCAACACTCGCTCATCCAGTGATGCGTAAAGTCCAAAGACATTGTTGGTCTGATCTGCAGTGTTTCTGGGTCAGAGGACACCGAAATGTTGACCTCTGGTGATTAAGGGAGCAGACTAGAAGGGACTTCTTCACACAGGGCTTAAAGGAGGTTCACATTAACTGTTCTCTGCACAAAAAAGAGGAGAGATAATACCCCTGATGCCCGAAACGGTTTCCTACATACAAAAATGCTCCCATTGTACTGCAGTTTACCTTAATTAATGACTCAATTAAAATTAAAGAATAATTTTAATATCGTCCCTCTCGTGATATTGTTAATATTTTTGGATCTGTTAATAGAAAGTTTGGCTAGTTATTTCTGCAAATGTCACTTTGAAAGTGAGATGAAATAGTCTTGCCTTCTATAGAAGTCATCAAGTATTCATAGGAATTCTTGCCACCAGAGTAAAGTTCTTTCTTCGACTTCATGAAGTGAGCAGAGCCAGAGGGGATTAGATATCTACGAGTTGATGAATTGTGTGCAGTAGTCATGAACTGGGGGAGAGCTGGGGAGATAGAGACGGCTGAGAGCTCAGTTCCAGTGCCGGCTGGTTAGTGTTGTGTAGAAGGTACACACAGTGCTGTGCAAGTTCAAACAACATAATTAATTAGGCTAATATTAATATTATCAATGCCACATAAATTCAATTCTCTCAGCCCTAATCACAACTGGATAGCTTGTAAAAATTATTTTGTTAGGCCCTGATGCAAACAGCGGGTCTTTTCCAAACATTTGAAAACTATTTGTTTTTGCCTTGATTAATGTGCACGTCGTGGTAAGAGGTTGGGGGAGCGGAGCTGGGCCAGAGACGATAACTGGCGTGGAGACGAAGGCAGAGGTGCAGCCTGGCCCCGGGGACGACCGGCACGGGCTCATGGAAGCGGGGGAGGGATGTGATTTTTGGGGTGGGTGTTTGAGCAGGTGGAGCGGATTAGTGAAACTGTCAACACTGGAGAGCTGGATAAGACTGCCCTCTTTTACTCGTCAGTTTGAGCAGCCTTTTCAAACACGTTCAGAGATGTAAAGTCTCCAGCACATCCAAACAATCAGTTGTTTCAGGACACGAGAGAAAAAGACGCCAGTCTGTGGACAGGTGGCTCCACCTTTGATTCTACTTCCTGTTGTCCTGCCTGTTTTTCTGGTTAAGTAAGAGTGATTTACCCGATCTCATTATTCCAGAAACTTAGTCTACTGTTTAGTTTTCAGTTCAATGCGCTAAATCTGATGGTTTTTTGTGGGGTCAAGCATCCTGTCACAGCTAAATCAGTGTTGAAGATGCGATCTTTTTAACTGAACCCTCCCTTTCTCTGTCACCTGCTACAGTTTACCCCTTTTCATGCGCTCCCTGCCTCTGTCTCCTCTGCCAAATAAATCATCAACCATCATTTTACTGTTTGTCCACTCCTTATGCGCATCCTGCTAGTCCTCCAACATCCCATAAATCCTCGCTCTCGGCACATTGCTGCTCCCGCAACTAGGCCAGGCCTCTCCCTGCCTCCTGGAGCACTGACAATAAAGCATTACAGCAGTCAATCCATGTCAACAACAGCTTTGCTTAATTCCTGCTAAACACGTTTAAACTAAATCTTCACCTAATGATGCATAATGATTTGCTCTTTAGTGTGCTGGTGGCTCATATCTGTTTAGGTGGTTTATTTTCCACTCAACTGGAAACATGACTCAGGTGGACTCCCCGTAGAAGACAGTAGGGATGGTATTAAGGATCCCTGGGTTAAAATTAGTCATATGATCGTGACTGTACCCGCAGCAGTGTTTTGGACGACTTAACGGAGGCATATTCAGACAAAAAACAGTCGCAGAAAAATGCCTGTGTGGATTTTTCCGACCTATTCTTTCCTGGTGTGGGCACACAGCCAGACCCTCTGATGTGATGCAGATGTTGCCCTGGCCTTGACCTCCCGCCTTTATAGTGCCGGGGCCAAAAAAGGCACAGGTGCTCCGCCACCTTCAGTCTTGGGTAGCCGGGAGCTGCGCTGTGCAGGATGCAGACGCTGCCAACTCTGCTCCACTCACCTTTCTTACCGTCAATGCCTTCCCTGTCAAAGTTTAACAATAGCCACCTGTGATTCCTGCTGTCAGACACCGCCATCCTATTTCCTATTTGCTTATTTATTTTTTTTTTTTTTTTTTTTTTTTCCCCCTCCACCCACTTACCCCCGCGTCTTCTAAAAACCTCATTCTCTGCCGGTTGAGAAGTGCTTTCCAGTGCTATTTCCTGGCCCGGTGCCTGCGCCTTGCTCTCTCTTGGCTGGGTTTGTCTGGTTGACTGCTCCACAGGAACAGACTGGCACTCTAGCTGAGGGCTCCGGGGTCTGCACACACAATCCACTGAACATGTCTCCGTGTTTGGAGCTGCACTATGACTGATATGCAGAAATATTTTCGCACATTTAATAGGACATGATCATACTTAAAGTTTATGTTAGATTATTTTTTTTTTCTGTTATTACTGATTATAGTGTTAGCATACTTGGCGCTATAAAGTATGAAGTATGCTTAAAGACGCCCGATTTACAACCCACTACTGTTGGTTTATTGGCTTGTGTGCACAAGTCCAAATGCGAATAAAACTGAGTAACTTATCGTCCATATTAAAATCAAACAGAATGAAAAACAAATTGATTGTGAGAATGAAAGGATGCCAGTGCTAAACACACTCACTCACAGAGCAAACAAACATCTGTTACGTTTGTAAGGCCTATGGCCCTCCTACCCCACTGATGTAGAACCAAGCTGGCACACATGCCAGAGAAAAAAATGAGGTCTCTCTTCTCCACTGAAGTTGAAACCGCATCACCAAAGCATGTCCATTTGTCTAATCAAGCTTTTGCCTGTGGCTACGTCAAATGTAAATGAACAGGCTTGTGTGTGCCAGCCTCTATTTCTGTTCAGCTCCACTGTGTTTGATGACGAAACGGTGCGGCAAACGGCGGACAGAAGGGGGCACTAGTGCTCCAGTCTTGCTCTCCTCCCCCGTGGAGCCCTCTCTTCCTCAGAGCTTCTCACAATGGGGATCTGCCTGAAGGGGGAAATGTTGCTTTTTTAGGTCTGTGAGCCCATATCCCTTAATCCCCAGCCATGATTGACAATCATGATTTAGGGTATATGGTGTCCCATTCTAATCCACGAGCAATGATTTCATTTGCATACCTTCCATACGTGGCCTCATTTTGGAGGAAACGGCTGCCTTTGTAAGTGATACTGAAAGAGAGAGGAGTGAAAGATGGAGAATAAGAAGAGGAGAAAGAGAAGGATGGGAGACTGTTTGTGTGCTTTTTGTTTTCCTTTTTTGCCAGAAGAAAGATGAGAGCAGTTTTTCATGGCCGAGCAAATATTCCAGTATAGATGCTTTCTTCCACAGCGATTTCCTTTTTAAGACTCACACACACACACACACACACACACACAAATCACATATGCATATTCAAACTCACACACACCATCACAAGTATATTTAGAAATTGTAAAAACACAGGAACACACAGAGATGCTCCCGCACACGGTGCAAAACTAAATTGCCATTTGCTCATTTTATAACCAAGTCAGGCTTAATTATAATCATGGGAGTTTGGGAGTTACCGTATAATCTCTAGAAGGTATTAAGAATTTCCCAAAGCACACCACAGTGTAAAAGAAACAAATGCAAATACTCACAATTATTTCCCAATCATAACACCCAGGAGAATGGGAATCAAATAACGCTCAGTGTCTGGTGTCTCCACAGAGACTGTTCATCCTCACTTTTATCTGCAGAGGAAGTGGAGCAGAAATGAAACACTGGATGAAAGGTCAAAAGGATCACATTTCTTTTGAACGTAAATGGACAGATTACAAAGATCAGTAGATTTAGATACATTTATTTTATCATCCGATATTATCGGACAAATAAAGTTTGTGTTGCTTTTAATTAGGTATATAATTATCAATTTCATATATGTACATATACATATGGTATCATTTTAATCTGCTCTCAATAGACTTAATTGTGTACTAATTGTATTTGTTATACATATTAAAATCAAAGCATTCTAAAATATAAATTAGCATGTGTATTTACTGGCAATTTTCAAAATCATAGTTTGAAATTATGTCATTATGAGAATAAAAATATATTTTTATTTTGAAAAATTGCACTTAAGAAAAGAAAATTAGAAATAATAATTACTTATTACTAAACACATTTTATTGATAACATCACAGTATTTTTACAAGTAGTGCAGAAAAAAACTGAAGCTGGAAAATACGGAAAATGTTGTGAATAAATTCAATACATTTTTGGTCATCAAATAATTTTGTAATTGTCTAAATTCATAAATCCTTATTTGCTTTCTAACAAAACAACATAAACGGCAACATCATGTGGAGTTTAAATGAAGCGCAGAAATTAAACACAAAATTTTTGTGAAAGTGGAAAAAAGATACTAGAATGTTTGAAGAAAAAAAGACAAATTCGATTTTTAAAATACACATGTTTATACTATTTACATGTATCTAATTTTGAGTCTCTACGCAAGACAACAAAGGCATAGGTGGTTATTTCCCTCCTGAATAATCCCCTGCAGCAGCACAAACTGTATCAGTCCACCACTTTGACAGTGCCAGGCCAGGTCTCCGTGTCACAACACTCCACTCTGGAACAGAAACACTCTGATAATCTCTTCTTATCTCCCATGTGTGGCTACAGTTTCTTGTCAACACAACAAATGCAATTTATTCACAAAGTGTTGCTTTCTTTTGACGTGAGCAGCACTTCTGGGGCACCTGCTCACTTTTTTCCTAAAGAATGAGGGTGAGTGTGCCATGGGTTTCCTTTCCCCTTCGGCCCACTCCACTTCTCATGCAAAACGCCAGTGTGGGAGGAGGTGAGGCGCTGGGCCACCCGAGGGTGTGAGCGTTTGAGAATCGCACCCATCGTCCCACCTCCATGGGCCATCCCACTCTCTACAATTAGCACTGTTTACCAGCGCTGCCCTAATTGATTCCATCTCTTTATCTTTTTACCTCCTTAATTTTGTTATTAAGTGAGCGAGAGAGGCGCGAAAGCTCCTCTTTTTCCCATTTTAAGAAATTATACTCTTGTACTTGATCCAGCTAACAGGATTTTCTTAAATTACTTTATAAAAGACCATCTTTTAACTTTCTTCTTTTTTTCTCTCTATCCATTCATTAGCAGGTCTGCCTCAAGGCCTGCTCACATCAATTTCTTGGGTTAAAGTTACAAACTTAGGCAGCTAAGCTTGACGCTCACGGTGGTTTTCTTGGACGAGAGGGGCTGGCTGTGGGAGGAATGGGGACAAATTATTAATTTCTGAAGTATTAGAAAAATAAAGAGATTGAATTAAGAGTATTGGTCCTCTGTTATCCAGCATGGCTAGCCTGAGGGACTTACTGTGGTGGAGGACATTATGCAAATGTTCTCCTCTCAGTGTCTGTCGTTGCTGGGTATCTTCCACCCTCTCTTCCTCCCTCCCTTTTTTCACCCGTTCTCTCTCTCTTGCAGTCAATCTCTGCTCCCGTATAATCTTTCTCTCTCTGTCTCTTTAATCTTCATCAGTCAGCAGAGGCAGACACAGTTTAGCATCTCCTGTCGAAACAGCTCCTCTCTTACTTTTTCTCTCAATCTCCTTCTCATTCATGAAGTGCTGATTCTCAAAAGCTCCAAAATCAAAATTAATGACCATGACCAAAGATCAGCCCCAGTCCAAGGTTTAAAAGAGCTAGGAAATAGATAAAAAAACATGCATTACTGAATCAAAAATGAACTACATGTCTAAATATATTGTTTAATAGGCTAAATAAAGATGCAAGTCACTTTTGTACCTTGTGTTGCAGAAAAATATTTCCTTCCCTTCTGTACTATAAATAGCATATTCTGACAAAGTTCGATCAAATAGTTTGAATGTTGAATCTCTACACAAACATGCCTCCTTTAAAATGTGCCTTTTTCAAGACAAGAACGATTATTTGACACTTTGAATAAACTCTGATCATTTAACAAAAAGCTTAGAATACCATTAAAATGACCTTAAGGACTTTTTTGTTATGAGATATTTTGCATTTATACAGAATGTGTGAATACAAGCTATATCAAGCCTTTTTGTATCTGATAGGGAGCAGTGCAAAATCAGATGAATTTCCTTAAGTCTCTGTTTCAGATGTTGGGTAACCTGACCTGCATATTTAAAATGTTTCGATACACGTGATTTAAATTGATAAGTCAGCTCAGGGGGTGGAGAAGGGGGAAATCTAAAACATGAAGGGCAGGGGTCCCCGGGCATGAGGATTAGCAAAAACTGATCAGGTGTGATCCATGAAAAGTCTTTAAAAGGAAGAAAATTCTGAGAAGTTTAGAAGAACCAACATGTTGTAGTCTTCCCTAAACAACTCACAATAATAGCTAAAA